GTGTGGCAAAGGTCTGGAGGGTTTTCCTCACCCAGGCTGGTCTCTGGTGGAAAATTGTGGGTGTGTGAGGAGGCCAGCCCCAAGTGTATCACCTTTTGTTCTGTTGATTTCATCACAGTTCTCAAGAGCAGCTTTTTGTGGCAGCTTTTATCTGTCTGTGTGCCAAGACGTAAACTTAAACTGACATAATTTATCCATCCGTGAGCTCTGGAGATCCCCAACCTGGCAGTTTGTCTTACTGCCTCCTCCAGAGCCAGTTTCCTGCCCGTCTTGCAATTCTTCATTCCCATCTTATTCTTGGGTTAATCAGAGGTGAACTAGATCTTGGCTGGCTGTTATCTAGAAAATATAAGGCCTGGTCTGACTCTTCCTTCTCTGTGTACTGTTGGATTTCTGTTCAAGGAAGTGAACTTTGGGAACAAGAGATACCAAAACAGTATAATTATGGGCTGGAAAACCCTCACTGTCTATTTTGGACAGTGTACATCCCTTCTGTGTCACTCCTTGATTAAGCCAGACTGCTCAGCAAGAAGGGAGAGATTCATTACTTGGCTATTAGCAGCACTAAAGCCTTGCGTCAATAACACTGTCTCTGCCCACGCGAGTCCAAGGGATGAGGGAGTCCCATAGTGAGTCCTTCACCAGAAACAAGGAGAAACCAGGCTGGGAGGGATCAGCACCATCCTCTCACCTAGACCTTACCAGAGCTGCAGTTGGTTTACTCTCTTCTTAAACCAAGGAGGGTTTAACAGCTTCCCTAGGCCACTTGTTCCAGGAAGAGATTTATTGATATATTACATTAACCTGGTTTATTACTCCAAGATAGGAGAGAACAAATCTCTAATATTAATCTGACCCTTTCTCCCTGTAGAAATGTTTGCCATGTCAACAGCTAGGCAGAACAGCAGTTTATTCCCTTCCCTTGGGATGCAGGAGGTTTAACCACCCTGGAAATAGCTGCTGGAGTGCCCTGCCTTGCCCTTTGCTCTGGTTCTCCTTGAATTTCCTGGTCTTGCCTCTTCTAGCAGATCCCTTTGGTGTCAACCCAAGTGTTTTCAGCCAGTTCTCAATCACTCCCACAGCTTCAAGTGGCTTGGCAGGGTGGATGAACGTAATCAAGATGCTTCTTTGTCCCATCATCCAGGCTGATGATGAGATTATGGAGCAGAACCTAACCAGGTCTTACCCTGGTTTTGTGCCATGAACTCCACAGATGACGTCTGGGTAGTGCTTTTCATCAGTATTGCACCTCCCATGTAATAATTTCATCTAACAGGCATTTCTTCTCACCAGTGTTGAACCTGAAGCTCAAACCAAGATGTCTTCTGCTGTGCCTTGCCCCAGGCCTTTTTCTTCTCTTGGAGGAGAAGTTCAAGCCAGCTTACTTGCTCTTGACGAATTTATACTGTTTATCTTGTCTCCTAGCAGCTCACAGGCTATTTGCAAGGTGATTTCATCTTGTTTTATCCAAAAGTCAGGCAGTCAAATACTTGAGGCCAAAACTTTTTATTCAGTGTTGCCTTTTCTCCTCCTTGATTTAAAGGAGAACTGACTGCCCTTTTCTGGTAACCTGGACATCTAGTTTGCATTTGCTCAGTTTACAGGATTTTTTTTTCTCCTTCCATTCTGTTTTCTGCATTGTTCTTTTTTATTTCCCTCTGAAGAGTTGCATTCCTGGCAATCCATAGTCCTTGTTCCCCAAATCATTGCTTTTCCTCTCTCCCAGAGATTTCTTTTCAGGTCAAAAAACATTCCAAGAGTTCCTTTCCTGCTTTCCCAAGCAGATACCTATGTAGTGATTACATGAAAATGTGACCTGTGTTTCTGATCATCCTGCTCACCAGGTCTTCTGTAGGTCCTCAGCATGACAGCACCCAAATTCTTTTCCCCAGCTCATCATCATTCTGCAAAATTGAGGGTTTTTTCCCCCAGTTTCATTTCCTTCTACCTTCAGAGCATCCTTGGAAAGCAGTAACCCTTCCGCTTTGCTCTCTTGGCCTCACCAAAGCAGGTTTTCAGTGATGTGTTTCAGTCATAATGGCACAACAGTAACAGGGTTGATGGAGGAATCATCAAATAATTTTGTGATTATATAAAATAATCAAATATCAAAGTATCAGATTATCAAATAATTTCTGGTTAACTCCAGGCTATCCTCCATCCTTCAAGGGATCCCTGGCCTGACCTGCTCTCTTCTAATTGATCCATCCTCTTCCTGTCATCAATTCTCTTCCCTTCCCAGCATGCTGAAGGGGCAGCAAGGCAGGGGAAAAGACATATATATATATATGTAAAAATATCAATCCTGGCTCTGAGTTTGCTTCTGGCATTTGTTTTTTTTAGTTTGTAGGAAACAATCTTCTGCCTCTCAAAATATTGGTGCTTGCCAGTGGGGAGCCAGCCCACTTACCAGCTGAAGGAGCAGTGGCACTCTTGAGCTCCCATCACCTTGCAGTTGCACAGTGGCACCTGGAGAGGTCTTCTCCTGGCCTGCCCCTTGCCCCCTGGACACCTGTGCCCCCATTTCTGCACTTGGTGAGAAGAGAATCATGAGGGAAATTTGGAATTTTTGGCTCTTGTGCCTTTAGGTGGTGCTTGAACATGTTGTGCTGCTGCTTGCCAGATTTCAACTGATTCTACAGAGTTAAAGCTGCTTCTGGCCTGTGCAGAAGGATGTTGGATTTTCCCCCACCACCAAAGCAGCAAATTTAATTCAATATTTACCCCACTCTCCTCCCTTCTCCTCCAGAAACTGGGGTCTGGCGGGCCGGCCATGGTGCCTGCAGAAGAGGAGAGTGAGGAACTGCTTCTGGCTGGACATCATGATCTCCCAGCAGAGCTGCAGGAGCAGGGCATGGTCCCACCTTGTGCTGAGCAAGATGAGGACTTCTACATCAAAATCAAGTTTGAAAAAGTAAGGCTGGTGTGGCTGGGCCAGTTGTTTTTTAGAGGTTGGAATTGCTGGGATTTGGGTTTATTTTGGCAGAGGTGGTGAAGCTGCTGTTGTAGTAGAGCAGTTGCTCCCTCAGGCCTGGTTCACTCTGAAGCCTAATGTTGTCAAAACAGGCTTTTGAGTGGTGTGGTGGCTTCTGCCTCGATGCTTCCATCTCACAGCTGTGGCCTCAGAAGGGGCTTTGTGCAGGATTGCCCTGTGGTGCTGGTGAAGGCTGGAGCAGAGTGTGTGTGCTCGCAGCCTCCACTGGACGCAGCTCGGAGCCAGCAGCAGCTGGTGCAGCAAATCAGCTGGAAACCTAGAAAACAGGGAAAAAAAGCTTTGCCTCAGGGGCAGGAGCTGGCTGTGATGATCTCTGTGCCTCAGGCTAGCTGAACACCCCCCTCAGAGGCAGTAGGGTGGAGCTAATGGATTTATCCATCCTGGTTTTGGTTTCAGGAAGGCTTTCCTTAAGCATCTGAGGTGTGGAAACATTTCACCTCAATTCCCTGGAGTAGTTCACAATACTTCTGGGCTACAGCTCTGTGTGCCTAACCTTGGCTGGTTAGGCTGGCCAGGAGTGGAAATATTGGCTTGGGAAATATGGAACAGGGGAAAAGGCACAGATGTTTAGGCTGAGGTTATGACTGTCAAATTCCTCAGACACTTTTTTTGTTTGCGTTGTTATTTTTCTTACACTTCATGGAGTTCATAATGAAATCACAGAATCACCAAGGCTGGAAAAGACCTTTAAGATCATCAGATCCAGCCTATGACCAACACCACCACATCAGCCAGACCATGGCACTAAGTGCCACATCCAGCCTTTCCTTGAACACCTCCAGGGATGGTGCCTCCACCACTTCCCTGGGCAGTCCATCCCCATGTCTAATCACCCTTTCTGTGAGGAAGTGCTTCCTGATATCCAACCTCAGCTTCCCCTGGAGCAGCTTCAGGCTGTGCCCTCTCATCCTGTCACTGGTTGCCTGAGCCTGATCCCACCTGACTAAAACCTCCCTTCAGAGAGTTGTAGAGAGTGAGAAGGTTCCTCCTGAGCCTCCTCCAGGCTAAGGGAAGTGTGAATCCATACTTTAACTAAACCAGGAACCTCTTTCAAGAATATCCTTAGTGTTTTGGCAAAGCTTTGGCCTCAAGCACTTGCACAGAGATGCCCCATGTTGTATCTCCTGCTGATGGCCAACCCATACCCTCCAAAAACTTAGCTCATAGGTGGCTTATGCTGTTGAGGACTGTAGGGATAATCCCTTCCAGCTAAGAGAAGATGAGAAACATGACTGTGAGGGTGCTGATGCTGCTCTCTTGGGTTATTTTCCAGTTCCAGAATGGGTCAGTGAAGGTCTCACGCTTGCCCGAGCCTCCCCAGAGGCCCTGCACTGATGGCCAAGCTCCACTTGTGCTCTGGGCTGGTGTGGACCAAGAGGAAACCAAGAAGCAGGTTTGTCCTTGTTGTTCTGTCTCCATGTCAGGGCTGGAAGGTATTGAGCACAGGGATGTTGCTTGCTCAGATATGAAGCCTCACAAAGCATCTTTTACAAGTTCCTCACCATTGGTGGTGGCTCATGCCTTGAACCAACCTACTGAGTTCTATTTAAGGTTCATTGTGGCCATAAGTGCAACCATTCCATGCTGCTTTCTCCAAATCTGGGACACTGAGGGGTGGAAGGAGAAACAAGCTTCATTCCTTGTGCCTGGCCGAACAAAGGTATCACTTTCTTTGGTTGTGTGGAGAGGAAGAAGCTGCCAAAAATGTTTAAAAACAAACAAAAGGGAACAAACCCACTTTATGTGGTTTGGGTGTGAGGCAGAGAGAAGGGTGTGATGCTGAGTCTCCAATTGAATGGTCAAGGCTTATGGAGAGTCTGTTTCACACTCATCAGTGGAATGTGAAGGGGTGAAGTTTCTCTGGGTTGTCTGAAAGAAGTGACTTCTATTTTCCTGCTTTCTGAAGTGAAGAGGAACACTTGCCTCTTTTCACAGCCTGAAACTAGAAAAGACTTTGAAGGAACTGTGAGTTTTTTCTGCCCCTTCTGTGCATTTTTCCCAAATTCAGTGGTGGTTTCTAGATGGTGTCACAGCAGCTGGTGCTTGTCAGGCTACTCCTGCCCCCAGCTTGTCTCTCTGCCCCTGGCTTTATATCTTCTTGGCTCTGATCCACCCTGAGATAACTGGTTAGGCAGGACTCTCTTCCTTGTGGTTTTTTTCCATCAGGTTTTCACCACTCTCGAGCTGATGACTTCTCATGCTCCTTTATCTCCAGCCATGCAGGGCTTGGATGGACAAACTCTTGGTGTGAATGAGGCAAAAATCCCAGCCTAAACTTCCTGGCCTCGAAACGAGTTATGTCCTGAGGGATTCCCAGGCTTTTGGCATGAGCTTTAGCCAGGAGGTTTCCCTGCCCTTGCTGCATTGGTGGGGTTAAGCCACTGAACCTCTCTGTTTGCAGGGAGGGAGTTGTCCCCTGCAGGCCTCTTGGACTTGTCTCAGCAATGCCTTTGCCACCTCTGGGGTTCTTAGTGGCTCCAGCTCTGTGTTGTACAGGCAGAGGACCAGCAGCCTCCCTGGTGGATTGAAATCCTTGGCCTTGTAACTCTGTTGGAGTAGTTGAGGGGAGAACCAGCTCTTCTACTCCCAGGAAAGCAAGAGCTGAGGGATTTGTCCTATGATGGAGCCTCCATCCATAAGGAGGGAGAGTTGAGGGATGCTGGTGCAAAGTTCTCAAATGCTCCAAGATCTCTTGATCCCCCTCTCCTGGGGGAGGGATCCCCCAGGAGCCACTTCTCTGGCTTTCCAGCCCTGGGACCTGTGCACTAGGAGACTCCTAGGGAAGGAGTGAGGTTTCTATCCTGATGGCCAGGAGCTCCAGGAATCAAGGTCTCACTTGGCAGTGATCCCAGACGTCTTCCTCAGAGGAGCCTCTTGTTCCCCACAGCGTCAGAGCGAGTTCCTGAGGTGCAGGCGCCTCTTCATGAGCATCGAGCGTGAGCAGGTGAGGGAGCAGCAGAGGCAGAGGGAGAGGCAGAAGAGAGTTGCTGAGTGAGTATATGTGGTGAGCACCAGCCCCTCAGTGTCACCTTCTTTGTCACAGGCAGGGCCTTTTGGAGAACTGGGGGGGTTGCATGCACTTGTGTTGGAGAGCACTTCTGCAGCTCAAAGCAGAGGCTTTGAGAAAATGATCCAGCTTGGTACCAAAAAGCCCCACTTGCTGGGTAACACTCTGGCTCCTTGACTGGGAGCCGGGCTAAAAATGCCACTTCTTCAACTTGTTAAAAATCATGAGTACGTTGAAAGAAGCACCAAGACACAAGCAGCAGTTGTAAAGCCTGGCTTATCTCCTGGGTTTATTTTAGCACCCAATCTGTTAGCCCTGGAGTGGGATTCATTGGACCCAGGAGGGATCCTTGAGCCATGTCGAGTCCTTCTCTAGCTACTTTCCAAATTCCTGAATGGCTGGGATAGGAGTCAGGATGATCAAATTGTGACTTGTGGCACAGTCCATGCTTTGGGGTGAGGTCATGTCATTGTTGTTACACTGCTCTTATCTACATGGTTTTTAATATCGGACCCTTCACCCTTACAGCTATAAAGGTGTATAGTGTAATAAAAAGATTTCCTAGCACTTGTTCCAGGGTTGAAAACTCAGTATCTGTGTAAAAGTGTCAGCACTTGTTTTGGTGTTTTAGTCATCGTCTCCCTTTGAAGGGGTTGGCTAAGAAGGAGCTCTGCAAATTCACACCAAAATAGGAAAGAGGGTTCAGGGGGTTTTATTGTCTCTTCCTCTAAAATAAACTGCTGGAGCTCAGAGCATTGTGGTCTCTACAGCGGCTTTGTGGGAGTGGGGCAGGATTTTCACTATCACTTTTCGGAGAGAAATTGCCAGGCTAAAGAAACACCTCTTCAGCCACGTTCCTGACATTTAAAGTGGATCTTCAGAGACCTTCTCCTGCCCTGCAAGTGCTGGCGAGTCACCAGGGACTTCCTAGTTCCTGTGATATCTTTTTATGATGGTATTTTTTTTCCCTCGGTTTCAGGGAGCGTACGCGGAAAGGATCTGGTTTTGCAATTATGTGGTGTAAAGCCTGAAGTTGGCCTTGGCCTCAGTTTCTATAGCAGAAAGATTTATGGGTGGATAGTTAAGGCTCTATTACCACTTCATTTAAGAAACGTTTTGGAGTTTATAACTTGACTAGGGAAGACTTGGCTTCAGCACTTTCCCTGTGGATGTAAAGATGTGACCCCCCCAGACAGAGTAACAGCTGAAATGTCTCCTTCAACTACACTTTCTCCCTCTGGCTTCTACCCAACCTTGATTTGATTTTTAAAAAATATTATTTTATTTAAATGCCTTTTGGCAGGGATCAGCCTGTAACATGTTCTTGCATTTGGTACTCCTCAGTGGGAGGAAAATGGCAGATGCTTCAGTTTAAAGTCTTTGTGTTCTGTAATTGCTGCGCGTTGTTTACATGTGTCACTTACACAACTCATATTCCACTGAAAGATCTGGAGAGCTGGGTGGGTGCAGGAAATAGAGGAAGGTTTGGTTACAAAAGCCTATTTTGGAGTAGATGTGGGATCCTTGGAGCTTCTTGGCTGTATCCAGTGCTCTCCTACAGCCCTGTTGTGCTCCTTGTCCTGGAAGCTGGTAGGATCACTGTGGTATGGACCCTCCAGCTCATGGTAGGATCCATGAGGAGAGGAAATTGGGAGTGGAAAAGCTGAGCGGTTGGGCTTTTCTGGTAGATCTTAAAGAACTCACTTGGTTTCAGAAGGAGAGAGCAGAAGTGTCTGAATTCCCTTACCCTGGTCTTGCAGCTGGGAGCCAGCAGGGAACAGAGGGTGGGATGGAGAAGCTCCTGCTCTAAGTATGTCTGTGCCTGCAGGATTAAGAGGAAGAACGAGAAGCAGCGCCGGGCAGAAGAGCAGCGGCTGCAGGAGATGGTTGATCAGCCAGAGCTCCCCCCGGGAGAGGGGGCCTGGGAAACCCTGGCCCAGCTGCAGCTGGAGGAGAGGAGCGTGAGGAAGGTCCAGGAGAAGCGGCAACGCAATAAGGAGCATGCGAGGTGCGGCAGGTCCCTACTCCATGCGCCGTGCCGGGTGGTGCTGGCAAGGTGAATATTTTGTCCCTTGCAGGTACATCGAAGCTCTGAGAGCCCAGCTGAGGGAGAAGATAAAACTCTCCAACATAGACTTGCCGCCACTGTGCTCCTGCGGGTCTGATTTCTGGGACTCCCACCCAGATACCTGTGCTAACAACTGCATCTTCTACAAAAACCACCGAGGTAGGAGCTTCTGCCTGGGGAGAGGAGGGCTTAATTAGATGGGGAGAAATCAAACCCGCCTGGATGTTTCTGTGGTGCTGGGCTGCTGGGTAGAGACACTCCTGCAAATATAATCCAAGTCTGGTGCTTTGCTGCTTTTTTCTATCCCTCTGTCCCTTCAGGGACCTTGGTGGTGTCCTCTGCAAAGCACCAGCCTATGCGTAATACTTGTGTTGGTGGGGGAGAACTGGAAGGAAAATGCTGCAAACAGGCTTGTTATGGGCACAGGAAACCTCTTTGCTGTGATCTGCTGCGGGGAGGTTGCATGAAGATGGTGGAAATTATCTTAATTATATTGGAGAGTGCTCTGATCTTGGAAAAATACTTGGGAGGTGTCTTGTAGGGGGGAAAAAAGAAATTTGGGCTTGATAAAATTCTTTGGCTTTTTTGCGTGGGGTCTTGTATTGCTCCGTACCCAGAAACATGCGGACAACTGTGGAAAACTCCAGGCATGTCACTTTGTCTTAAAAAGGAGTTTTCTCTCTCTGGTTCATGATAAAAGGCTGCAGCAGAACCCAGACCTTTCATCCCTTAGCACTGCTTCTCTGTTCCCTTCCCCAGCCTACAGCCATGCTCTGCAGTCAGTGGTCTCGTCCTGCGTCCCAGTGGCCCGGAGCCCCTCGGGGAGGCTGCGGCTCCGTGACTTGGCTGCACTCTGTGCTCGCTCAGGGAAGCGTCTGTGAGGGGGCAGCTGCTGGTTGTGTCCCCCTCCCTGGATTTCTATGGAAGTGGAGAGTGGGGCTGTGCCTGGGCCTGCCCACTCCAGAGCCCATCCCTCTGCAGAGCCAGTTTAGAGGCAGGTGTTAAATTTTCAGCTGCAGAATAAATTGTTTTCAAGGGTTGTTTGTCTCCTTGGGAGTGTGAAACGAAGAGAAACAAGGTATGTGGGGTCAGTATCTGGGTTTGCAACTGGGAGAGCCCCTGCCTTTGCAGCTTGCGGTCTAGGGCCAGGTTTTAATTGCTCCTTCACTTTTTCTGGTGAGGACTTTTCCTCCAGTAACATCCACCCAGCTTGGTACCAAGCCTCTACTTTGCTCTGGAAAGTGTTTTTTCCTAGGAAAAAAGTATCTGTATTTAATCTCCAGGTGAGCGTGACCCTTTGCTGTCTGCTCCAGCCCCTCAGAGTGCTGCTTTCCCTCCCCATATTGAAATTTCACAGGTCTCTCCCTCAAAAAAATGACACTGGTGGGAAATGCCGTCCTGGAAGGAGGTTGCACCATGACCCAGCATTAACATTTACCACCAGCCGCTGCCCGCTTGCTGCCTCTCCAATATTAACTGTGGCAGGAAGGGCGGGCGGCCGAGCGTGCCCGATGGTTTCTTTTCCCCATTGCCATCCCACTGGACACAGAACAAACCCACGACCCCGGGGCCAGAGGTGGCACTGGGGCACAGAGCCAGGGGCAGCTTCTCTGTTCCCCCTGGACAATCATGTGAGGCCTGGTGCTATTTATTAACCGCTGTTTGCGTCAGGGGAAGACGCCACAGATCTAATAAGGGGTTTTGAGGTGGATTTGTGAAGGGCGGGATCAGGCTTGGGATGTTTTTGCATCTGCAGGGACTAGGCTAGAGCTAGAACTGTGATTTTTAACTGGTTTCAGGATGGAGCTTTGGGCCGGGGTAGATGAGAAGTGTTTCCTTGGCAGGTCCTGGAGACCTCAGTTTCCAGCTTACCCAAGTGCTCCCCCAACGGCCGTGGGGCTGGTTTGGGCCCTGGCTCTAAGAAATGATGGTTAAATAAAGCTATTGCTGCTTCTCCAGCTCCTCATCTTCCTCTGCTCCCTCATCCTGGTGGTGTAACAGGGATTCTTTGCTAACTGCGGGGTTTATCCTGGGGCAAAACCTGTGGGAGAGGAAAGCTGGACTCCCAAAATCCCCCAGAATAAACCTGAAAGCGTTGCTGGGGGTGACTGAGGTGGAATCAGGGCACCGGGAGTGATGGAAAACTAAGCCAAAAAGTAAAAATCAGCATTTTCCGATGAAAAGCAGCATCTGGGGAAAATCGCGGAGCCCCGGGGCTGGGGCGGGGTGTCCAGGAGCCGCCCCCCCCGCCTTCTCCCCGCTGCCCAACACCGCTTTTTTTTCCTTGGAGCCGGGTTTCCAGTAGATATTTCCCCCCCCCGGAGCTGGGGCCCGAGGGAGGGAAAGGCCCGGGGCGGCCCCCGGGGGCTGCGGGGTC